TGGCTCACTGGAGCAAAGCCTGCAGTCCTTACAGCTTAGTAAATAAAATAAATAAATAAAGGGTCTTGGAGGTTGTTGCCAAAAAGTGCTTTATGTACTCTGTATTTTTAAAAGAAATCAATCAGCCTACCCGTTATTCATACTTAGCACTAGCCCCTGCTACATATTTCTGCCATGCTACATAGCTAAATGAGAGCCTTTGTGTGTATTTGGGGGAGAGGATGATGGATTGCAATTTATCAATGTCTTTCTATACTGGTGGTTGAAACTTACACATCTCAGTGCTTAGCAGTTCCTAGTGATTGATGGGATTGTTTACTACTTTTCCCTTTGGTCTGAAGGATACTGAGTGGGTTTTCTGCCAGCACATGTGAAGGGCTTGGCTTAGTCCCAGGGCAAAGAGCTCTGCAGCCCAAGTTTTGTTTACACCACTGTAACCCTGGGGCATTTTGGGATTTTAATAACTTTCAAACACACACATTTTTGTTAGCTGAAAACAGAATACTGAAGCTGCACCTGGGTTTATGAAAACCTGTACTGTGTGTACAAACTATAAAACGGACCACCTTATTGAAAAAAAAAACAGTTTTGAAAACAGAAATGTTGTTTCCGTCCATCAGGTTCCTGTTTACACAGTTGTATTTGCTGAGTGAGGTAAAAAAAAAAAATGCACGACTAATCTCACAGTATTAATAACCCAGTTACTGCTAGATGACAAACATTAAATAGAATGAACTGGAAAGGGTAATAATTCTAGATACAAGTCTCTACACACACTGCTTGCCCACTGATATAACAAAGGAAATAGCATAGGAATGCACATTACCCATGTTTGTATGCACAATGTCAATGTTCTCATTATCGGACAAGGTTTGTAGTGTTTGGCTTAATTGCAAACTTTGGATGTCACACAAAAGGAAACTTGCTGGCAATTTTGCTGCACTATCATGTGCAGCAGCTGTGACCTGGCCATAGCCTGAGTTAAGGCAAATATTAAAGAAAATGGTTCCATTCTTTGAGCCATGGGTCTTTTACCCCAAACTGTTGTTTTGGATGCCTGACAATGTCTGTAGCCTCTGCTGTATTGTTTTTACGTCCTCATGACACTCATGGAAACAAGATATTTATATTGCACTGAAATTTTCCTGGTAAAACATGTTATAAACAAATAATGACAGACAACAATGGGAATTGGGTTAGATATATGTGCAGCAGCTACTTGCCAGTAGGCTGGTTAGTACAGAACTGGGTGTAAAGAAAACATTAGGGCTGAATTCAGACCTAATATAAAGCAGGCACATGTCCCATTGATTTCAATGGTGGAGAGGAGGAACTGGGAGCCAAGGGCCCCCTGGATACCCAGGAGGGAGGCAAGGAGAGTAGGCGAGATGCTTTGAAGTATGTGAATGTAAATATAAATTGTGGAGAGGCAGAATTGGGTGATTTGGTTTGAGGGTCAAAAGAGATTTATTCAGAAGGATGGAACGGATTATTGACAGTGCAGAATTTATTGGTGGGGAGGTGGGGACAGAACTGTTGGGACGGAGGCTGTATCTACTCAGGTTCTTATACTGAAGCCCTCACTGTGCTATCTAGTTGCCTTCTAATGCATTAAGCAGCATAGATAATGGACACTTCCCGGGGTGCCCAGGACTGAGAGTCAGCTTGTTATCCCATGCCTCCAGAGAGAGAGAGAGACTTGCTGGTGCTTAACTGGGTGTCAGCTCCATGCCACCTTCAGTCTGTTAGCCACCCAAACAATCTCCTCTAGGCAATGCTAGCTCTCACTTGTTTTTGCAGGTTAACAATAGGTGCTGCACCTCCATCCCTAAGCCCCATTTCAAGCATTTCTCTATGATATCCAGCCCATCACCGGCTATGCACAGAAATACCAGGTCTGCTCTCCTCAAGGGGCATGTGTACACACCAGTCTATTTGATTCAACTGAGGATAAGCTCCTGTATAACATCACAGCACTGATTATGGTTGTTATATTCCTTCACTCCTGTTGGGGCTAGAGGAGATGGAGAGGGACGTGTGAAGATGCACTAAAGAAAATTGTGTAATGTTTTGGACACAGCTATTTTTCACTCAGACTAAGTTCTCAAGCATGTAGGAAAACGTCTGTGCGCCCAAACCCTGCTTCTCGCTCTTCTTTCAGATCCTTAAGCAAGGAGAGAATAATCTGTACCCCCAGCACAGCACCAGCCACAGAGCTAGACTACCAGGTTGAAGGCACTTTTGGAACTGCCATATGTATATGCTATTTTTGGTCATCACTGCAGCTAACAGGCTCTTTCCAATTTTTTTCGAAAGTGTATAGTGAGGTGGTCAAGATAGTATGTAAAGGGTGATGGTTCCATTATCTCTGCCTGAGGCTGGGAAATAAAGTCAAGCTAGAACCATTAAGTATATAGATTTAGGCTTTTTATTTAAATAAAATAGCCACCCCAACCATCAGAACAGGTTTGTCCACTTCTGCAATTAAGATGGAGTGCTTCACAGTTTATATACTTGTACATGAGATGCATTAATGCACTTCTGGTCAAAGTATACCCTTTCAATTATAAAAGAAGGGAAGTGTCAAGCACTTTGAAGCAGTTCACATATCTAAGCATTTCTTCCCACTAATTGTTATTCCCTAATGCCCAGGTAGCTTTCAGTATTTATAGTCAGCACTAGCAGCTGCACCATACACATTTCCTCGAAGAAACCTCATTGAGGTCTAGGCTGTAGTTAATATGTAACACACTATTTGGTAGATATGTGACATTTATAAACAACTTCAATGATTTACTTCCTTACATCTTAAAATGATTACCTAAGTATTTATCATATCAAATGGTGGGTCATGTGTCTACCACCAAAAGTAAGCCAGGTCCAGTGAGAGACACTGAGAGTTGGCATAGCTATCTGGTCCCAGGAGACAGGGTGGTTGAGGTAATATTTTTTATTAGACCGACTTCTATTGATGAAAAGGAAAGGATTAACTCACCTACCTTGTCGCTAGTGGTATGGGGGGAGACAGAAGAAAAAGGAAACAGGAATGCCACTGAACATCAGTAAGAGAAAATTAACTCCCTAATAAGTAGGGCATTCAAGATTATCTGCAATAATGCAGTCAGGCAAACTCTAGTGAAGCAGCTAAATCTGAAATAGTTTATACAATGATCAATAAACATATTATAAAAATTGCACTATATATTACAAGTATAGGTGTCCAGCATCTGCACCTAACAGCTCCCTATGACAACAGGTGTCATGGAAAAATCTATTTCTTATTGACAAATCTGGTTCTCAGTCTGCTTAACTGAATTATTTCTTATACAGCCTCCAGCATATACCACTGCAAGCAAAGAATACTTGCTTCAGAACATTATAGTGAACAGACTCCCCCCTCACTGCCCCAATATGAAGCGATAGCGTAGTTCCCACTAACAGTGGAAGTTTTAAAAAGGTAATCAGTATATCACAGGGGAATTTAGTCAAAATAGCAGGTTTAGAGACCCTGCTCTATCAATCAACAGGTCCTATAAACAGAGTTTAAAAAGTTTGCATCTAGTAGTGCTACAGTCATACTCTAATGGATCCCTCTGTACTAGACTAGTACAGAGGGATCCATTATTTTAAAAAGACCCAAGTGTTTGTGAAAGATGGAGGACTGACTACACTGGAGCTTCTCCCCTTAACAGGGACAATGCTTCCAGAATTAGCTCCTCCCCCTCTAGAGGAGCCAGCTGATTCCCATGCCTATTCGATTCCTGTCACCGAGACTTATCACCAGGTTGGCTGTTGCCATGGTAGTTTGCTGAAGGCACCTGTCATCTACAAATGGCTAGAATATACATGGGAGCTGTCTTTGTGGAGAATAGACAAAGTATTTACTAGACAAGTTGGTAGGCTTCTTCAGTTGTCACTGGCTCTAGTAAGATTCAAGGTAGTGCTTGCATAAAGAATCAAATAAAAGTTTAATGTGTCCACCTCACTTGCATTTGAGCCATTATAAATAGTGATTTGTGTAGTTTATTAAGGAAGCATTTGATGTTTACAGTAGTGGACACCACCACAAGCCAAGCTGGAAAGAGTATTCCATGATATGTGCCATGCGCAGAGAGCACAGGAAGTGTTTTACATTGGATAGGAATGAATACTGAACCCCTCAGACCCTCATCCCTCCCTTCTAATGAAGCTCATCATCCTTGTATGAAGGGTTAACACCCTTACTGCAGATCTCCTATTGGCAAACAACATTCCTGCTGTTCCTCCAGTGAGGGTCAGTGGTAGCCATTTTGGCCTCTGCTGTGAGGAAGGGGGATTACAGTAGCAGTTAGAGGAAAGTAGCAGCACAGCCCAGTCAGACGCTTAACAAAAGTCAGGCCAGAGCTTCGACATTCTTTCATAGTTTCCTTATACTCCCTTGTCTACCTCTCTCCATCTATTCCTTGTTTTATGCTTTACAACATAAGCTCTTTGGGACAGGAACTGTGCAGCACCTAGCATGATGGGGTTCCAGTCCATGCCAGGGGCTTCTGGGCACTACCATCATATGACAAATGTGAGAGAAGAATGATCTCAAAGACAACCTACATTTGAAAGGTAAAAATATAGCTTTTATTGTCAAGATAGACAAACCCATTTTCTTGCACATGAATCAGTTTCAAGAACAGTGCTAGTAAGTAATTGCTATCTTGAAGTTCAAAAGGCAAGCCCAAGAACAGTTCAGGGGGAGGGGACCCAACATCTATACATCAGTGCAGAGAGATCCAACCATACAAAGTGACACCACAGTTTAAGGCATTGACATTAAAACATTAAAAGCAGTACAAGTGCAAAACAAGTCAGTTTACAATTGTCCAATTCTGATAAGGCAAAGGCTCAATAGCTGTGAGGTGCAGTAACTTCCAAACGTTAGAAGAGTGCAGTTCTGTAATCCAACTAAGCCAGTTACATTGTATACCTAATATGCAACTTGATGGAGAACACACACACACATGCACACACACTTCCCCCTCCTCCACCACACACTTGGTAAGTGTCAAATTGTGCCAGAAGTGTTTCATACATGTTGATATAACTTAAGTACTTGCAAGATAAGTCTTCAAGAGAATGACTGCTAGGAGCCAAGACACTTGGCACATGTCTGCCAAGGTAGTTTCCCTCTATTATCTGTTGATAGGTTTCTTGGAAGATGATTAAGTGCCAGCAACCAAGACACGGTGCACCTTTCAGCTTTTCCCCCCCCTCAAAAGAGTGGCACATAGCCAGACAACTGTTACTGAGAAACATAGCAGGGAAAATAGACTAAAAGATTAGGCAAGCCTCTACCCCCTCACCCCCATATTGCATAGTGTTAATATCTGCCCCTGGCCAGATCTGAAAGATGTTGCATCAGTTACAGACAGTGACAGTCACTATTTCAGTTCATGGTCTTTTGAAAATTCCTGTGTTTTATCTAGGCCAACTAGTCAGCTTGTTTGAGCATGGGGAGACGACTAGTTAATTTTCTGCAGTAGTGGTGTAAAATTGAAATGGAAGTCTTTAGGGAAGATGAGGGGAAAGCGGGGAAAGACATTCGAGCAGCAACGTAAGCATCAGGTTGAACACTAGCTAAACTTTAGCTACCTTGGAGAAATGAAGAGGGCAGGCTCATGAAAGGAAGAAACTGCCAGGCCATTCCAGAACCAAAGTGGGCCACTATGATGGTGTGGAGAACTGAAACCCCCATGAGGTATCCTCTGAAGAGCTTGAGCTACCATGCCAGAACAGAAAAAAAAAAAATCCTCCAGACTTTGGAGAAAAGCTAGTGAGAGAACAAACAAAAGTGTTTCTTGGTTCCACTTGGAAGAAGGGATATGGCAAGGGAATAGTAGGATTCAGTTTTCTGCCCAGTAAAAGAGGGCAACACTGAGTGCAGACATATTCCATTTTCAAAATTAAGTATGAGGTAGGCAAGTGTTTTCAAGAAAATGATTTAGCATTTCTGCTTGAGAAGTTATCTTACTTTTAAATCCATCTACCCAAATCGCATTGTTTTCCAGTTTTTAAAAAAGCAAAAATATTCAAACACAACTGACTATTGTTTTGACTAGTCATTTGCCCCTTAACACTTCAAAAAGTTTAAAAGTGCACATTGCTGAGATTGCAGTGCAAATTCTGTTTGCTACATAACCCCTAGGAAAAATTGTAAAATATTTACTTTTGCACCAGGTTGATCAGCCTGCTACCTTTTAAGATGCAAGATCCATTTCTTGGTTTGGGCAGGGGAGTTTAACATCCACTAAATGTAATTAGCTGAACACTATTTTAACAAGAACCTTTTGGAACTATAAACCTATGCTGGTAGAGTTATTTCCATGGCATAAGAACTTTCTATAGAAAAATGGCCAGTAACAATTACTAGGCTGACCGCAGGACAGGTCAACTAGATGCCAACCGTAAGTTTCAAGTAAAAAGTTAGCTTTGTTCTCACCTTTTTTGCACACCCAGTAAAGGCAGTCAGTTAGCTGCACTAGGAAGATCTTATGCCAACTTGAAGGCTTACACATTGGGGTGTTTGCATAGCCCATACAGAGCACAATGGTTGCTGTGCATGAAATCAAACTGTAAAGCAAGGTACCTCTTAAAAATTCAGACACAGTTTTAAACATGCAACAAGATTTCTAGCATTCTTCAATGACTGTCCCAATCAAGGAGTAAAGTTTTTTTTTAATAAGCCGAAACCCAGGACTCAGAATCAGAGTACATTTGCTGCCAGATGTGAAACAAGCTCGGGTAAAGAAAAAGTCCCTGAAACTGGACCATGAGCAACAGTCCTGCTTAAACACAAGTGTCAGTTCAAAAGTAGGAACAACACTGGGGTCATAGATAATCTTATCCAGCTTTTTACATACATTTCCAGTTTCTAAATTGACATGGATAATGCAACCTCTCAAACCACAGGGCTCAGTTGAAGAAAGCCGCAATACATCTTGAGCTATTTTCTTGGTTAGTTTTTCTGGTATCAGAACCTTTGAGCAGTGAAGTTTGGTCTGCTTTGATTTGGATAGGCAGTTCTCCAACATTTTAACTAAACTCTGACAGGTTCTCTCCTCAAACACCACCTCAGTAAGGTTGGGTTCAGGCACAACGTAATCCCAGTAGTCAAAGTCTGCAGGGGAATTAATTATGAGAAGACATGAGGAGGAAAGACACATAGTAACATACCAGTAACTGGAAAGAGGCAGACAACAAACCTACCTGTTAATTTTCCTAAAGTATTAAATAGTGATAGTCAGCAAGCCAGCATGAGCATACTACAGTGTCAGTTTTAATTCTCATTCATGTAAGAAACCACACTACCCTATGTATATTTTATGTGTGCTGCCAACAGCAGTCTGTGGTCACTTTAACTAATTCAAAGTACAGATGATAAAGTTAACCAGCATAATCAAGAGAAGTGTATTACTATAAACTTAATGAAGTCATTCTCCACTTGGGAGAGGACTTCAAAGCCATTACTAATGTTTATCATTGCAGGATAAAAAAGCCTGCCCCTTGAAAACATGAAGTTAGTTTGCTTAAAAGGAGAAGTGATAGCTTTGCACTTGGTCATCCACTTTCTAATGTGATCCGTCTTTAGCGTGGCAGGCTGCCAAACGCTGAGATTGTTTAGTACATACATGGAAGTAAATAACTTGCTCATCCTAGTAAACTACTGAAAGCTGTGAAGTATACTGCAAGTGCATTAGTAATACAATAGGTTTATATGCTGAGACAGTTAAACTGTTTCACAAGTCTATTTATAGCCACCTATAGTGAGTCAGGATAAGCCACTGCAATTCTTGCAAAAATCTGATCTTCCACTCATTCTGAAAAGTTTATTAGGATCATCTTTGCAGCTACTGTTTAGCCATAAAAATCATTTTAGTAACCCTAAAGTATTAGTCAGAGGTAGCTCTACAACATATCAGTTCTTACCCCCCTCACTTGTAGTCATGTAATAATTCATGAGCACAACCTCTGCTCAGTTACCCCCCATTTACAAACATCCCTGCACTAACACATAATAATAAGTTATAACACCACTTGGGGATAGATCCCTCCTTCCCTTTTGCAGCCTTACTTTTTAAAGGGGGGGGGAGGGAGAAAAGAGGTTGAGAAGGTCAAAGATACTCACCGCTTATGTTTGCGTGGTGAAAGCCTTGGTATAGCAATTCTGAAATGCATGCAGTGCTTTTACTGCTTAAATTGCTAGTTGCAACCATTTTAAAGTACACTCTAACCTCCAACAGATCTTTACGCCCTTCTGGTTTACTGAAAGGAAAGCACATGTAGCATGCTTACAAACAAAACAAGTTATTAAGAGACACTACAGCAGCAGCCTCAACTCATAGCAACTCTCAAGAAGGAACACTTACTTGCCTGTTAAGAGATGAAAAAAGGAGTTTTGAAGTTTAGTTACACAATCCAAGACGCACTACCATGCCGTTTCTAACTCATCCCCTTGAATATTTTTTTCTTGTGTCAAATGAAAGCCTTCCCTCTTCCTACTGAAAGGGGGCAAAATTAATTAAGAACAAACTTAATTCACCTATCAGTGGAATCAGCCCACATGATTTCATCTTACCTGCTAAAACTTCACAGAAGTTCAATTACAGTATTTATATTTCAAACAGCTGCTTTCAATTTCAGTGACAGGAAGTATACAAATCCTAAACAATTATAAACCTACAATTAATGTATACAGCTACCATTCATTAGCAACCCCGCCCAATCCCTCCCTCCCACGGATCAACCCGCTGCTAGGGCAGCAGCAATTTATATACACTTCTCATTCCCCCACCTGTCCGTGCTCCTCCTTCTCCCCACCCCATTCACATTCCCAAGGCAGCGGTCTACTCTGCCAGATCTTTCCCCTCTCATTGGCTGTTGTTCTAAGAGGCTCTGTGGGGAGCAGAGCGGGGACAGGACTCATCCAGTCCCTCATGTGAAAGAGGAGAAGCTTGAGCAAGGAGGGGGAAGGAGAGGAAGAGATCTAGCTAATGATTGGTCAGCGGCAGTGTCAAAAAGATCCAGGGCCTGGGAGAGCTGGCATGCTGATCACCTGACAAGTCACACTCAGCCCGTGTCATTCATCTGAGTTCACAGATGTGCTGCAAGTAGAGGTATTAGCAGCACCCACTACCTCCTCCACCACCCCAATTGTGTATTCTGCAGCCAAGTGTTGGGGGTGGGAGGGATTAAGTAGAATTTTTATTTCATTCGTTTTCCATGGTGCTTTGCACACATTGATGTAGTCTTAAATTACTGTTTTATGCACTCGCACCCATTTCCCCACTGCCCCTGTGTCCCCTTCATTTCCTTTCCCATTGACCTCAGTTCTCTGTCATTGCAGAGTGGGACTCATGAAGCATGTTTCTCCTGCAATGCAGAGATGTTTTCAAGCTGCAGTTTACTGGGCTAATATTGTATTATTAATACAGCATCTTTTATTAATGCAGCAGCTGTTGTTTATGAATAAAGGGGAAGCTGCCATATTACAGATGTACAATAATGCAAAAAGGATACACAGAGCCTGGTGTTGATCTCACATTGGAGTTAGGGTGACCAGACAACAAATGGAAAAATCGGGATGGAGGTGGGGGTTAATAGGAGCCTATATAAGAAAAAGACCCCAAAATTGGGACTGTCCCTATAAAATAGGGACATCTGGTCACCTTAATTGGAGTAAAACCAGCATAACTCTATTAACTTTATCTGATTATTCCTAATTTACACCACTGCAAGATCAGGCTCAGGCCCATAGTATTACAGTTAATAATAATATGCACTTCTATAGTGCTTTCAAAGGGGGGGGGTTCAAAGTGTTGTACAATCATGAATGAATGTGGCATCAAGCCTCCAATGAGCATCACTTGGGCAGAACTGGGGTATTAATTCTCAAATCATGCCTGCAAGTTAGTTATTACTGGAGCTAAACCTGTCTGTATACAGATACTTGATGTACTGACTGACAAAAACTTGTACACCAACAGTTTGTACAGAAAATTACATCTCTGTGTGAGTGGATGGGGTGACTCTAGTTCATTTCTTTTGGAAGAGCTGCACCTCTAGTGTGTTTACTACAGCGCTGTAAATAGCTGTTGGTTCTTGGTAAGGGACTTAACATTACTCAATGTACTCTCAAACAACAGGGAGCAAATTAGAAGCTGAGTCTGGAGGCTGTTGGTTGGTTGGAACCTGGGGGTGGTGGTCTGTTCTATATAAATTGGCCACTTCTAGTGCTTATTGTAAACCACAAGAAAGTTGTGAGTGTATCACCTCAACCAACAGGTCTAAAATATTTTTACTGCAGGTTAGAGACAGGGAAGAGTTTTAAGGTGGGTGAAGGGGACAGCAACTTCTCAATTTTTCCCTTATTCCCTCCCTATCCAAATGGAAACAGTAAGAGTTAACAGCATGCAGGGAAAAAAAATTCAAATTGACTCAGGTTTTATTCCCGCTCCATAGTTTTTTTTTTTTTTTTTTGCTACTCTTTAAAATATAGTTAACAGCAAAAAAACCCCAACAAAAAAAACTCCAGCTTAAAGCTATGAGGGCCAAGACATTCAGAGTCCAGGTATAAAAGCTGGGCCAATACTCTGGGCCTTCTTCTCTATTGCTTTGTATCTTGTGCACACAGTCTCATTTGGGTAGCGTTTTGGACAGGTGTGAATGTCGACACAAGGCAGTGGAGAATCAGGCCTTCCTACTTTAACTCATGCCAGGAACTAAGACAACAACATCATGGTGGCTTAAGTGTTGGCCCCAGCTCTGCTTTCTGCCCTTATAAAACATAAGGACAGTCAAACTTTTTGCTTAAATTTAGCTTTGGAAGTTGAATTTACTTTAAGTTGCTATGTTGTACTAAAAGAAGCAACAATGCATTAGATAATTTCCTAATAATCACTACAGCTGTTGCTTACCACAGGTGTCTTATTTAACTAGCAGTGGATGAGGGGTGGTCCATCCAATCAAGAAAGAGCAGGGAAGTGTTTACAAGAGACTCTCTATTAAGCTATGGTTCACTTTCTGATGAAAATGTTTAGGAGCCCCTGCTCTAATGGTCTTGCTTTCTAACAGCTAATGGAGAGTCTCCTATAGTTCAGGTAGCAGAGCTGCTTTTTCAGAATCTTTCCACACACTTACACTGCTACCAATTGTTTGAGAGCCTGGGAGGGAGGGCGAGTAGCGATGCGCAAATCAGCTGTTTTATTATAAATCTTTTATTTATTATAAAAATTATTCATGGAATTTTTTTTTTAGCAAATAATGCTAAATGACACAATTCATGATAGAGCTTATGTTAAATTCATGACCAATTACATAAATGAGTTACACAAGTTCTCATTTTGAAATTTAGAATTGCATATTTGACTAATATTTGCAGGCTGCACTATGTTGCTTACAGCTGGCTAATTGCGTAGCAGTAATTGAAAAAAAAAAAAAAAAAAAAAAAAATCTTCAATTTGCATCTGTCAGCCCCAGTGATGATGGGACCAAATTACGTCTGTCTGTCCAATATAGAACTCAAAATTTAAATATGGGCAAAATTTGAGCTAGAAATTAACTTCCACAACTTGAGCACTTCAATGTTGATGTGAAGCAGGGGCTAGGAGAGAGATGCTCCTCAAGAGACTGGGTCTTCACCCAAGCCATACATTGGAAACAGGAGCTGACTTCTCTCAAAGCTGAAAAGGACACTGGGAACAGCAGTGTTTGTTGCTACAGAAGGAGCTGACTACGCTCTGGATACAGCTTAAGATCAAGGGTGAAATGAAGTCCAACTCTGAGACACAAAAAAGAAAGAGAAGGCAAGGCTCCTTCAGAAAATAAATCAAATGGGCAGTGAGGTATACCAGCCAGCTAACACTGAGAATAGTGCTAGGGTGTAAAGATACAGCACCACTGAGTGAAAGATGGCATGTGAGTGTGATCACCCGTACACTGTTCATAGCAATTTAGAACTGAAAATGGCATTCACTTTCGTTCAGATTCCGAGAGGGGCAGGTTTTAAATACATTCTCTTGTCTACTGCTATGGCTAATGAATCCGCTTCCTTGATAACATAATTATAGTAGAGACAATTCTCCCAGTATGTATCATATAAGATATATAAGGTCTTCCTTCTCCTCCACAATGTAAGATGCAATCACATAAATGTAGTACTTGGCATTCTAGCATATTGGCAATTTAAGAGATTACAATTAATTTCATGGTATGGAAATTAAATCTTAACAAAAGATTTACTGTTTCCATTTTACATAAAAATCACTATTTAATTTAGCAAATTCCAAGGAAATATTTCCATGGAGACAGTTTATTTCCACTGGGATGATATTTTCCACAAGTCTTTGAAATGTTTAACAGATTCAAGCATATAATCAGGACAAAAGTACGGAGAAACAAACGAAGTTTCTAGATGCTCTCCCACAACCCATTAAATGTACTACAAAGTAAATTATTTTCCTATTAATGCCAAACAGCGAATATACCCAAAGGAATGGTAATTCACAGTAAATTAGTAGTTTAGTTTCACATGGGGGGGGGGGGGGGGGCTTTTTTTTGGCCAGTATTTGACTGGTGCTGTGCATCTGCCTCTATTTTTAGACAGGTCCCCCCCCGCACACACATACACAGCCTTAGCTACTGAGATATTTATCACATTCATAATACATATCTGAGCTCTCAGCAATGCCTGGCACATGTCAAAGTGGGGCAGAGGGATTCCCTTCTCTTTCAGAGTGTCAGGAAACAGGGTACATCATCTACCCCAAGAAAAGTGGCTGTTATCTTTTGCCCGTGTGCTAGAGTGCAGGGGCAGAAGGAGGCTGCAGAGTGTCTCTCCCCATCCACGAACAATACACACAGGCTAGGGACAATCCAAGTCCCTGCATTTGCAGAAGCGTCATGGCCATCCCTCTATGCACCCCTGGGGTGCAAATCACCCCAAAGGGGATGGGTTAGGGGGCCATGGCCCTCTCAGCCCCTCCACCTCCCCAGAACTGTCCTAGGGCACTAGGGAAAGGTCAGCCAGCACCACATCAAGGGTACATCTCTCCCAGCAGCGACTAAATAGGAGAGAGACAAGCCTCACAAGGATGAATCTGCCACTTGTCCATGTAGAGCATATGAATTTGGGCCTGATTCGGATTTTGCTTACACAGGTTTACACAAGTGTAACTTCAGTGACTTCTGTAAAGTTATGTTGATTTACAGTAGTGTTAATTAGAACAGAACTGTGAACTCTTATTTTGTAAAGTCCATCTGAGGGACACACAAAGCAAAACGCAGGATGTTGAATTCATATACCTTAGGAAGATGAAGGGCTGTGGTGACTGGCACCAGTTGAACTTATGGTGAATCACGTACGAACAGCAGGACTCAAACATGGAAAGAGTGATTCATCTACAATAAAAAGTTTAATCTGAACTATTTAGATCACTGCACTGGGAAAGTAACAACTATTTCCCTTGCAGCAATGTAGTTACAGCACTAAAAGAAAGACCCATTGTATTTTTTTTTTTGATATTGCTCAGATCCCTGAGTGGGCAGATAAGTGGGCCTGAAAGCATGTCTGTTTATTGGCACTGCAGCAGAGTGAGAAAGATTACAAGGAAACAGCAACAGATGTAGCTTAGAAGGTGCTTCTACATTTAGAGCAGCAATCCATACTAGAAAGTCAATAGTGTCAAAGATGAAACTTTAATAACTTCTGTATCTTTT